CCTGCTGAGAAGGTGGCTTCTCAAGTGTTTGCTGAGTCCGTATGCACATTTAGAAGCTGCTATAATTCTTCGTTTTATCTCCGTACTGACGTTGTTCTCATTATCAATGCTTGTGCCCAGGTACGTAAAGGCATTAACCACTTCAAAGTTATAATCTCCTATTGTCAAATTTTGGCCAATCCTAGCCCTCTTGTTCTTGATGTTGTTGATATAAGAGCCTTTGTTTTTTCTTCATTGATTTCCAGTCCAATTTCTCTTGCAGCTTTCTCGATATTGATGAAGCTTTCCTTTAGATCAACAAGTGACCTCGCAACAATGTCAATGTCGTCCAATAATTGAGTTGATTTAAAAAGAATCGTACCTCTGGTATTGATTCTGGACTGCCTTATCGCCTTCTCTAGAGTCAGGTTGAACAGGAGGCACGCCAAGCCGTCTCCCTGCCTTATTCCTCTAGTTGTTTCGAAAGGCTCTGATAGCTCATTCTGGATTCTCACCTTACATGTTACTTTGGCCATTGTTGCCTTAACCATCCTAATGATTTTTGAGGGGATTTGCAATTCATTCATTGCTTGGTATAATTTTGATCTTATTACGCTGTCGTACTCAGATTTGAAATCAATGAATAAATGGTAGGTGTCTATATTATGCTCTCTTGTCTTCTCCAGGATTTGACGCAGTGTGAATACCTGGTCGACTATAAATCTTCCTTTCTGAAAGCCGGCCTGATACGTTCCTACGCATTTCTCTGCATATGGACGTATTCTCTCATACAGCACGTTTGAGAGTACTTTATAAATGGTATTAAGGAGTGTTATACCTCTGTAGTTTTTGCACATGAGCTGATCCCCTTTTTTATGGAGTGGACATATCATGCCCAATTCTTCTGGTATATTTTCCTGATTCCAGATGTCGGTGATTATCTCGTGGATCCGGGAGATGAGACTCCCACCTGCTGTTTTGAATAATTCAGCTGGTATTCGTATTGCATCCTCTCCAGGCGCTCTATTGTTTTTTAATTTTTTTACGGCTGCTTTTACTTCCCTTAGGAATGGTATGTCTTCATCCGTTGCTGCGTTTTGTTGTTTGCTTGAGGAATTTTGTCCCCGTTGCTAGTTAATAATTCAGAGAAGTGTTCTTTCCATCTGCTGACAATCCCTCTTTTGTTGCTTATTATGATGCCGTCACCATCCTTGACCATATTCGTTCTTGGCTTAAACTCCTTCCTGTCATTATTGATCTTCTGGTAAAACTTCCTAATTTCATGTTGACTTTGTAGGAATTCTAGTTCTTCAAATATTTTGTTATTATGTGCCCTTTTTTCGCCTTATGTATGTGTTTTTCGGCTCTTCTCAGTTCTCTGTATTTTTCTATTGAGGCTCGTGTTCTTCTGCCCTGTTGTACAATCAGGTAAGCTTGGTTTTTCCTTTTGGTTGCTTCTCTACATTCTTCGTCAAACCAATCATCATTGTAATTACCTCGTTGTGTTCCTATTGTCTTTTCTGCTGCCGTTATCAATGTTTTCGCACAGGTATCCCATTTTTGTTCCACGGTTTGTTTCGTTTGTTGCTCGTTTGTTTCCAGAAGTTGTTCAACGTGCTCTGAAAAGTTTTGAGCCGTGGATTGATTTTTTAGGGCTTCTATTTTTAATTTCTTCCGTCTCCCTTGTTGTATTGTTCTTATATTGGAGATACGTGCTCTTATTACCGCTTTGACTAGGTGGTGATCGGAGTCCATATTTGCACCTCTCATGATTCTCACATACATTAGATTAGATGTGTGTCGTGTGTCAATTAGGACGTGGTCAATCTGGTTGCGTGTTTCTTGGTCTGGCGATACCCATGTGTATTTATATATATCCTTTCTTGGGAATATAGTGCTTCCCACCACCATATTTTTTTCTGCTGCGAAGTTGATAATCCGGAGGCCGTTGTCGTTACTTTCTGTGTGTAAACTATGTAGCCCCGTTTGGCGTTGGTGGAAGGCTTCTCGTCTTATTTTTGCATTCAGATCGCCAGCTATTATCTTTATGTCATTTTGGGGATAGTTGTCATATGCTCTTTCCAGCATTTCATAGAAGGCGTCTTTTTCATCTTCTGCCTTTTCCTCCGTCGGTGCATGGACATTGATTAGGCTGATGTTGTGAAATTTGCTTTTGATGCGATCACACACATTCTTTGGTTTATTGGTTTCCAATCTAATATTTGCTGTCTTAATCTTCGTCCAACCACAAAGCCCACTCCTAGCGCGTGTTCCTTTTTGTCGCAACTGTAATAGACATCAAAGTTTTTCTTGTGCAGGATTCCATTGTTTATCCACCTTACTTCCTGGATCGCTGCAACATCTACTTTGTATGCTGTTATACTCCAAAACGATAAATTGTAATTATATTTGAGATAGATACGAGATTGTAGGCTCCGCTTGTGAAATGGAACGCTTACAATTTAACAATTATCGTGGGATTAGCATGGCACTCGAGATTTCGAAGAATACCTTTTCGGATTTTAATCTCACCAATTGCTTTTTTTCTGATGTTCTTTAAAGATTTGAATACTTCAATATTCATAACTCATGGCGTCAACTGGGTCTCTTGCCCTATCAAATATATGTATATGTTTCCCATTCATTTATTTTTCTATTT